AAATAAGATGGCTGAAATGTAGGCCTAAACATAAGTAATTTAAGTAAACATAGCATTCAGCTGATTTAAGTGAAAACAGAATAATAATAAGAAGGGAAGACATGCCTTAAATATACAATGTAGACAATATAATTAGAAATTATTAGCCTACTTCTGGACAAGCCTAGACAATTTCCATACCGTGGTTAAAAGTGTACTTCTCTAAGCCCAGGTAATTAATTATTTACTTATTATTACGGTTGTAACTGGACGTATGTATAGTCCGTGGCTTGGCAATCAAATAACAGTATTTATATAGGATATGCTACTGTTATCAACATTTGAAATTACTGAATTGTTACCAATTTACTGTTTCACAAAATGCAGATTCCATTTTCAGCCGAGCCATTAAAATGAGGATTTGCCGAACAATTATTAATATTACAGAATACTATTTAATGATGTACAACTTTTCACATTTCATAAATTATATGTTAGTTTTGCGATGGGCAAAGGTCCAAATCCAAATGTTCTTTTCTTTTGGTTTTTATGTAGTAATTTGCTAGAATCATTGACTTTATATAAAGTCAATGCTAGAATACAGTAGATGGTTTGTTAAGACCATATGCAAACATTTTTGAAATCGTTTCCCCGTTTAACCAACTATTCCAAAAGATAAAAATTATATGGTGCAACACAAATAAACAACTCGATCACCTACCTATAACCTACACTTTACCTCCCTAATCTAACCTTACTTCAAAACACTTAGTCACGAATACACTCATAAACCCCGACCTTCCTTCCCCACATGCCTAAATTAGATCAGTGTGCAATCTGCGTTTTATTAATAAGTGTAATAACTTACTGCACCGTCGATGTAATTCAACATAATATAATCAGTGATGTATTATCGGATTAAATATCGATTTCGATGCGGTTCGATATATCGCTTATTAAATCCTGATTTCTAACATTGGCTGTTTCTAGTCAGCTGGCAACACAAATAGGTTCCCAAGAAAGTAGTCACTGGTCCGTATCCCTCCGCTCCTTGTTTATGCTCCGCGCATTGAGAAAGTAGTTCCGTATATTTTCTCGATTTTCAGTGAATTCCGCACCTTAAAAAAATGTTTTAACGGCATTTTCTTGTTTATTAAAATCATAGGAATGGTTTAAAAACGTTTAAAAGAAAAGTATAGAAAGTTCAGAAATACCTTATGATTCTCTTGTTTACATTTTTCTTGTAAACAAAAAAACTGTCATAGCTACTTTAGTCCCATAAGCCTAATGTTAAAAATTTGAAATTTTAAGTTCGTTTTAAATTGCATTAGCATTATCTAATTGAAATTTGTTTGTTTACAAACCATCTCATTATTAGTCTAAGTAGTCTTGTTAAGTTTGGCTGAAATGTGTTCAGCCGTTATTGAGTGATGGTGTTATATTGTTTGCATTGAAGTTGATCCCAAAGAGCTTCGCTCGCTTCGCTCACTCCGCTCAATAAAGGTGCTTTTGCCCCTTCCCGTGAAACACTGAGAAATAAGGACATTAATGCGTTACCAACAGACATACACACACAAATACAGAACTTAATTAGGGAATTTGCTACGCTTTAAGCGTAACAAAGTACTTATAAAATCAGTATCTGAAATCTTTGTTAATTTCATCAAATTTCATCATAACAATTTATATTTGCTTGGACCGATGATGACCCGAAATGACGGCTTACTATATGAAATGAAGTACTATAGACGATTTAGATTGGTAATTTATAATAAAAATTACCGAAATAGGCCACGAACTATTGATAAATAAACAACGTAAAGCGTTAAACAATTCATGAAGGTTTGCTGAATAAATGTTTCACTAAAATGCGTTATTGTTTTCTTAGCATAAACAAACATTTTGGAATCAAGAAAGAAAAAGCAAAAATTGTACAGTTAAGACATCAATTAAATTGATTACGCCTGTAATAATAAATAAGGTGCAACACCAACGATAACTAATTTGTAAAGTACAGTGATGTGTTGGTACTTAAAAATGATTCTTGCTGCTACCAACAGTACCAATGGTTCTAAGGAATAGAACCGGTACCAAAAACCAACGTTCACAGTTGAGAACTATAGTACAGCTGACCAATTATATGAGTTAATCAAGTCCCGAGGTTATTGATCTCTTGGTTTTGGATTTTCTCGTAAAACGTTTTAAAACGGCAATCAAAAGTTATTTCCCATTAATTGCTTTATTTGTAAACAACTTTTAATGTAAACTTATCGGTGTCAGTTTGAAAAAAAAACTTTTTGTTATTTTAATAGAATACTTATTCTCTAAACAATGATTGGTATAGGCTATCTATTAACATTAGAAGGAAATGTGACAAAAATCACACAACGTTGGGTTTTTGGACGTTTGTAATTTTATTTCTTAAGTAGGTAGGCCGTGTATTCTAGGGAAAAGTACGGGTATCAAGGATCGTCGTCAAAAAGGTTGTTATGAATAATTGGGTAGGCGTACGTACCCAAGAGATGGGCTATGGGCCTATTGGCTGTATGGTCCAGCGATTGCATCACGCGGTGAGTAGGTACTATTCACTATATAGGCTATATATATAGTCAATGGTAGGAACAGAAAATAACACATTAGAAAAGCGAGTTTAGCATCATCCGTAAACCTCTGTTACAATCACCCACTGCAGTTGTGATTTTTTACTTTACACTTTACATAACCGCCATTGAAGTGCCGTCAATGAGTGGAAACCATGTTTCTAAGCTATTGGCGACGATCATTATTAAATTTAAGTTTCCCAGCCGTATACAACACTGATTCAAGTTCTTCTTTCTGGTTATCAAAACTCAAGAACAATTTATACACAAAGAATCTCTGGTTCCTGAACTGGATGATGCCTAGTTATATCATTTCATTTGCGGTTACACTATTACACTATATTATTGCACTTTCGATTAATTAAATCCGTTATGTAAGAAAATCGTTTTTAATCTCACTTGGTTGGGATTTGCATTCAAAACGTGATTGAAAAAGGTTGCGGTATTTGTAAACAACATGTGTAAACATATCAGTGACAGCTAGGAAAAATAATCTTGATCCGAACAGCTGTTCGTTATTTCATAGATGATTATGCAATAAAAATTGGACGAAAACAACATTTTTGAACGTTCGTAATATTATTTACATAGTAGTGAGGCCATATTTTAATGGCTAAAGACAATCTCGCCAATCCAGTGAATACATTAAAATTACTTGGATCTTGATAGGTACTCTCGTTTTCCAGGAGAAGATAGCGTAAAATGCCATCTTGAGTGTTACAGACAGAGGGAAAGACAGACACACAGACAGACAGAAATTGAGATAAGACTGGTTTCTGCTTATTTAATGTATAAGACGTAAAAATAACCTAAAAATATATAATTCTGAGCAATGTACAGATTATTTGATATGTTTACATTCTTTCAAAATGTAAATATGGAAAATGTGGAAGCCCATGGGGCGTATCCCAAGGGAAATATGAAAATTAAATTATATAATATTGCATTGTCATCCATTTGTTAGCTATGTTTCAAGTTTCAAGTATCTAGCTCATCGGGAACTTAGTATATAATTGATTGCAAAATTTGTACCGGACAAGAAAGCGAGCTAATAAAAACGTTTTAAAATAGGCCTGCAGAAGAGCGTTGACTATCCCAAACAATTGAGACAGAGGGGTATTCAGATAATCAATTTTTTTCAAATATTTGGACATCAACGTAAAATAGCCGTAAAATATGATGGTTTTTAGACTGTTTACAAGAATTTGAGACCTACAAATCCATAAAGAATGAGCCACAACATATTTTAAATGAACAGACCTCCTTCAAGTCCAACATTATCTATGACGCAGCGATTAGAATAGGATAACAATATCACCACCGGCATTTGTTAGGTAAACGGGAGGGGAGCGAGGACACCTCAGTCATGACCATGCATCTACCCGTGCCTTGTCGTAGTTTCCTGTACTGGCCATTTACCAATATTTGTAAAATGTCCCTCCGTGTTTGCGTGTTCATGTTTTATGTGTTTACCGACGATCTCAATTTGAGTGAATTGACATTTCTAACAGCCTGATGATGGGATTTTAATCCCGAAACCGGTCACCTAAGACGACAAAACGATCACTGACGTACAGGTAATATAAACCATTTAAGTAAAATAGCCCTATTTCTTTCTCTTGTTTAAGTGTAATTAGAATCGATCAATCTTGGCATAAAGTGTATAATTTAAGCTACAAACAGCATTTGCGATCATTGTACTGCTGTAGTGCTACCGTGTTCGTCAGCACAGGTTCTCACCAAGATCTTCTGCGTATCAGACCATATCACCATAATCATCATCAGTTACTGCATACGGAGCAATAAAGTATAGCACACTCAGCATTGCATATAAACTAAGCATTGAGCATAGTATACTATGCTAGCATATTATGCAGGCTTCCAACCTCACTGTCCAGCATAGACGCAAACATTGTAATAGATGCACTGTTCTTTTTATTGTCAGTGATTGAGTTCCCCAAGCTGAGCTCAAACCACTAGCACTGTATTTCAGCCGATCTAATATTTTAAGTTTGTCAGATATACCAAGTACAACTTGTTTCCTTTTTGCTTACATCGCTAAGCCCTACCGTAAACTAAAAAGCAAACCAAAAACAACACGTACCTACTTTAAACAACAATTACTGATGTCTCTGACACAAAGTGAGGTCCGTGTAGAGCCTATTTGACAACATGACCACCACGTTGTGTCACCGAGTTTCACTTCGCCATGTACGCTCCTGTCGCCCATTTTCGTAATGTTGGCATGGCTGTAAATTTGAATTTAACATCTTTGACGGTGGTTTCATTTACCCCCGGTTTTGGATGACCAGTATGTGTCCACCAAAATGTGTCTTCATTTTTAACCAAAGGGATACCCTCATATTTCTTTAATTTTGCTTTCAACAAACTTGTACCAATAAATTACAGCACTAGACTCACTCAGGGCCACAGGGTGGGACTAGCTGGAACCTGATATCTCTATGTTCCGGGGTCTTCATCAACATCTTGCGAACTTCTCGAGGGCTGCGATCAAGAAACACACTCACGTTGTCAAAATGTTCCGAATCACTGCTGGACTTGAACAGTCGTACGCCACATTTCTTGGAGGTTAAGTTGATCACTAGCCTGAAATGGTAAATAACAAAATAACTAAAAGTGAAAAATGGAAAATCAGTAACTGAATTTCCTGATAGGATATATTATTACATCAGCCAACATATGTAACACACGGTTATTGACATTTCCCTTTTGTCTGTGTTTATGTTTCCTTTGTTATCCCAATTTATGCCTATGTTGACATGTGAGTAATGTAGCTGATTTGTAATGCTCTATGCCAGAAAAGTTATGTCTTATTAATTAAATAATTGTTCTTCTATAGGCTACACAGCCTTATTTGTTTAAGAGTTAAGTAATCAAAAATTTCCCATATAGAGTAGGCTAAGCTTTTACTGCAAGTCTCAAGGTAGGACTTAGACCCAGGATCACTTTACAAATTGTTTTGATGTGCCTAAAGACCAAAAACATAACCCGAATTTTGGTTAGCAACTTCCTGGGTTTATGCTGCGAGAGGGGGGGGGGGTAACCTCGGCAATGAACTGAAATATGATTACTCAAAAACAAATGGCCTTCCCTCAAAAAATGTACAATGTGACCTTCAAGGTAAAAAGTTTGGAGACCCCTGCTCTATCATGTTATGACTTGTGGCTATCCTAAAAATTATGTTAACCATACTAAAGTTCTTATATTCTTTTTTGCTATAGTACCCACATAGCACATAACATCAATTTGACGTAAAAATTAAGTAAAAGACGTCAAATTGACGTCCTGATCAAATTGTAGACGTCATATTGACGTCAAATTGTGGTCAATTTTTTTATCACATATTTCAATGAAAAAATTTTGTTTCCTTTATTTTTAATGACGAAATATAATTTGTGTTAGTATGATAATCAAAACCAACTTCATAATCCAACTGGAACAAAAATTATCATCAAAATGTTTACATCATTTTGCCGTAAAAATGACGTAAAATAATTTATCAACTACACTGATCAAAAATCTGTATATAATTTAAAGTGGAAATGAAAAAAAAACTTTGGAGACTTACTTATATAACTCGTACGAAAACCTAAATTAATTGTTGTATACATTAACTTAAGCTATAGTTCACATATTTTACAGAGTGAAAAAAGTACATAGCCTAATCAAATTGTAGAGTTCCATTGAATACAAGTGTCAAATAAGTGCTTAAAGTCGTGTAGTAAAACAACGCTATTTTCTTTAAAAGTCAAGAAAGTTTCTTTTCGGATGAACAGAATGTCATATTGGTTTAAAAAGGCATTTTATTATGGCAAGCTACATTAAAAACTTTATTTATGTACACTTTATTTATAAGGCAAGTTTGTAAAAGCAGTTAGTTGACTCCAACAGTAAAGGTACCTCTATCTTTTTCTTTGGTCCTTGTCCAATGTCCATTAATAATTTTTGTTGTCATGCCTGTCTGGAGTGTCTGGTCTGCTTGTCTGCTTCATATGGTTGAATGTTTATGTTTATGTTTGCTATGTGTTTGCGTTATTCATTTGTGATGGCCAAAAAACCAGCCGACTTTTTCTTGAATGAATTATTTATAATCATCCAATTATTGAAAAATTAAGATGTATTATTACATTAATAACTTATTATTATTTGGTAGTTTCAATTGTTAACAGTTTTTTTAGTCTAACTTAGCTAGTTTTACTTAAAAACAAGTGTTCAGGCCTAGAAGAATCCTTAAAAGTTCAACCGGGAAATCCAATTTCAACAGAACTCAGGCAAGTACTAATCATTTAACCTAAGCAAATAACTTAGCTTTAACATTAATCGGTAACATTAAGCCTATTTCATATAGACTCCTGGCCCACGGCTATTTAATTAGGCAGAGGATACGCGTCCGGCAGTTACTGTCATAACCTAACCTAACTAGCCTAAACATACTTGCTGATAGTGAAAAAATCGAATGCAGGTTAAATTCTGTTCATAAAATTAAATTATAAATGCCTCAAATTCTAACAAAAGATGTACAGTTAAGAAGAAATGGCATTCTAAGCTAAATCTTTGACAAAAAGTTAACTTAGTGCCTCCGTTGGTATTGGATCTAGATAACTCTTGTTCATCAGCCGAGTAGGCTACTCTATCCACTACACCACTGAATATGGCTGTATGTTGTATCGTTGTGGTTATAGTGTTCCGGGCCCCCACAACCCTGTGAGGTTGCTGCCGGACGATTAAATTATTCTACGTTCGGTTACTGGACGCGTATCCTCAGCGATTTAATCAATACGGTTGCAGCAAAGTATTTAGCCTAGGCTATCTTAGAAGTAGGCCTACTCTACAGTTTCAAGTTAAGCTAAGCTTGTTTGGTATCGTAGGGGTAGGCCTAAGTTAAGTAAGTTAGGCTATCTTTTGGATAAGGAGTAGGTAATGAAAAGGTAATGTTCTAGCCTAACCATTTTGTACTAACTTAACTTATTTTGGAAACTGAAGCAGGTTACAAGTTATTCCGTCAATCAGGACCTGCCAGTTTAGTATTTAAATCAGTAGGCTAACTCAATAACTTAACAAAATAGCCAAGGTAGTTGGATGAGCCATCTACACAGAGTGTGCTAGCCTACTGTTTTAAATTATATTTTATAGTACGGTATAATTCTTAAAAAACCACTTACAGCTAAATAGGCCTATATGTGTAAACCTTTTGCATTTCGAACTGAGTTCATCTTGCCCATCATCAAAATTTGCTGGATACCGATATTTAATATACAATGGGATAATTAGGTTACCGGTACTTAGTAGCCTACTTAATTTCATCTGCTTTTCACTTTGTAAACATAGCCTACGAACAGCTGATGTACAGTAACACTATTTATCTAATATTACCCTGAATTGCCCACTTCGCGACTTCACTTCACTAACAACAATAGATATAGTATAGGCAGGCCTAGTGTGATACAGTTATCGCAGCTAGTCTGGGCGCGCGGACCCTTGTGTACTAACCGTCCCCCACGCCAAAGCCACGAAGACAGCAGTGAGGCGCTGAACAACCCCAGAGAGCCGTGTGGGCCAGATGTTTTTGGAAATGAGCAATAAACACTCTCCTCTACACCCCGCACCCTAGCGCGGCCGCGCGCCCAGACTAGCTGCGACAACTGTACATTGAGAACTGTAATTATGTTGTTCCAAGCAAAAGCCTATAATTTTTAAAGTTACATTTTTCCAATCAACCGTAATTAAAACTACCTTATCTTCTTTACAGTACGGTACAGAGGCTATCATGATGAAGAACTCCAAATGCCCAGGGTCTACCGCCAACATTGTTGAAGACCTCAAAATAATTGGATGCGGGTGGCATGCTACTTGAGGTTTCTTAGCCTAACTTACTAAAAGTAAGTTTTCATAGATAAACTTAACTTACATGTAGGCCTATTAAAAATAAGTTTGATGAAGTTACTATAGTTATAGGTAGCATATACAAAATGAATAAGGAAATATGCCCAAGTATGAACAAATGAAATGTTAAGACGAATCATGAAAATAGTGTTGTTCCTGTAACCTAAATAAATAAATTGTTATGCCCATGATTTAACTTTTTACATAAAGTTAATTAACCATCATTAAACATTAACCACCATAATAATTTAAATAATCCACCATAAAAAACAACTCCAACTTTTTATTTAAGTTCATTTTTTGTGATATTGCGATTGTGTTGGTTCCGCGTTTAATTTTCAGAGGAAGCATTGCCTAATTTCCACTTCCAAATCCCGACATGTATTACTACAATAATCCTGCATATTGAAATACTATTCCCTCTCAAGATACAATAATAATATTAGATTAAGTAAATTTAAAATCATTTACAGGTAATTAGCAATCATGTTGTGATTTAATTTATATTTATGATATTTTGTTTTGTTGTGGCAATAGGGATTGTTTACTGTTCTATGGTTTGGTTGGGGTATATAATTAGCTCTTCAAAAGAGGGATTCAGAGTTGTGATTTAAGAGACGAATTAGACCTAACAGTAATCTTCCACCAACTTTCAGTTTCTATACCCTCTGTATGAAAGGGCTTGTGGCCCTTCTTATAGGTTATAGTCACATCAAGTAGGCTGTTGGCTAGTACTTTAATCCATCACAAAAAGTTTGTTTAAGCTTCAATCTAACTGTAGCCTAATCGGAGCATGACCAAGATACAAGATTAAACTAGTTTGTACGCTAACGACGAGATAACATTGTCACTGTTAAACGCTACCTACTTACGCATCTTAGGCTACGCCAATTATCGATTATTTATTTAGAAGGTCAACTTGGCTATTAACTTATGTTGATAAAATGTTAAATAGGCAATGTTAAATAGGCCGATTTTGATCAAATACATTTAGCCAACTTGGCTTACTACTTTACTTTAGTACTAGCGGTGTCTATAGTTTAGATTTGTATTAATTAATTAATTCAAGATTACGAACGTTCAGTTTAATTAGTAAATCTTTAATATGTATTTTAATATCCAGAGACTTGATATCATATTCCTAACCCCCCCTCCCATTGGGGATGATATAATTAGGTCTTGGGAGTACCCCGATTGGATCTACACTATGAAGAATAAGTTAGTAGGCCTAACCATTAATGTATTTACCATATCATGATCAATTCTGTGTTCATCCTAAGCAGGCCCCCGAAGATTCTATATTTTTATATTACAGTATATTTTTTCCAGTTAATCATAGTACGTATGCTGTATGCCTACATTAATTTATTACCCCCTTTCGTCAGATAATTTTAAAGTGTAAGACGGGTTCGTTTTATTGAATCGGCCAGGGTAGAATACTAGTCAGACCTAGACTACAGAGTCATTCTTAAAGCTAGACCAATTTTAGGGTGAATATGAGATAGCTCTCACCTAAGCGTCTGCTAGATTTCATGAGCACTTCTAGAGCTCTATAAAATCCCCTAGGGTCCCTTCGATAAAATTAAAATAACTAATCAGTTAAAAAGAGTGAAACAGCTTTTTATCGACCCCTGAATTTTATCGGCTCCTTCTGAGCGTTCCGAGTTTGAGGGAATTTGAGTGTGGCTGGTTCTATGGGTAGGCCTAGTCTTTTTCGTGAATACAATTTTATTTGTTTTTTCTGCGTTCGTTTAAAATGGATTCTTAATTTTATGCTTGATTTTAATTTATAATCCTTTTTGGTCAAATTTCTTGAACCGTCCTAATTTTCCACTCTAATGGGTTAACAGGTAAAATTTTTGAATACGCTAAGTTCACAAACGATCAAGCAATACACATTTTGAAGTTCAGTTGTCATCCTCAATAAAAGGCACACAAAGAACAAAATCGTAAATCGCTGTCTATTAAAATTATTTAGAAATAACTTTAAATAATACCTCATATTTTTAAACATAACTGAGGGTAAATATTTCTGAAAATTTTTTCATTTCAATAAATAAAATCAACAAATATATGCCTATAGGCTATTAATAAAAACGCCCATGTATGAGCGTTTCTCAGTATGCTATAAAAAAATCCCATGCATCGCAAATTAGCTAGCATGAAACCATGCACTTGTTTGCAAAGCCTGGCCACATCTTGTCCTAAAACTTAAAAGAGTTGGTAAATTTGACTATTTCGTCACACCACCCTCTTTTTCGTGTCTGTCCTCCTGGGTCTTTAAAACGGATAGGTGTATTTGTATATTTGGTTAGCCCCTCAAACCGTTGGTAAATCAGTACCAGCCCTCTGACACAACATTTGTGCGCTGCTATCCATTTAATGATCTTTCTATAAAGAATCTATTTTGTATTTCCATAATCAACCATTTTATTTATTGATTGTTACAGGAGGGTGCAATAGAGAAGAATTGGAGAGCGAATATGAGTTATATAAGTAGTGTGGATGTAAATGATGTACCTAGTTTTATTGTATGAATAAATATTTTTATTTGGACTCCAGGTTTTATTTTCCAGTATAATTAATTCCTATTCTATTTTTTTAAATATCATAAATTGAAAATATTTTTGTACAGTAAAATGTAAAAAGTACATAAAAGATTCTGTATGAAATTTATAAAGCCGATCATTTCCGTTTTGTAAGATACTTTTATATTGTTATTTACATAACCTTAGAATATAAACACCATAATTTGAAATATATCAGGAAGTAAGAGCATACAAATATATTTTCCACAGTTAGTTTATACCAATGTCTAACACTGCTGTTGAAAAAGTTTATACCAATGTCAAACGCTGCTATTGAAAAAAATTGAAGCCTAACAAATATAAATTGCAGTATTTTTTTAGTAGGCCTAGTTATTTTATCTGTTATGCAGAAAATTCATCAGCTGATGCCTAGGTCATCCATTTGTTTTACAATTTGTTAAATAAAACTTATTACCTTTGTCTAGGTTAGGTATTTATTTACATGTTTTCCTCAGCATGGTTCCAACAGATTTTTGCAAAAGATTTGCCAATTATGTCATCAAGATTTTGCAGAACTAAAAAATGTTTGGCACTAGTAACATTGAAAATTAATATGAATACAATTACAGTTCTATGAAGAATTACCGATAATTTTATAAAAAAATAGGGGAAATATTTTACATTATTTTTATGTCAATTTTACATTTTTTTGCTCAACAAAATGATGTCAATTTGATGTGAATTTGACATCATTTTGCCTAAAAAACTGAGCAATATTACGTCAAATTTACAACAAAAAGACGTCAAATGACGACAATTTTTTTACATCATTTTTACATAAATTTTATTTTCTTTTTTACTTCATATTGACGTCATTTTGACGTCATATTGATCTTGATTGACGTCAAAATGACGTACAAAATATCATTGACGTTGACGTCTTTGACATCAATTTTACGTCAAATTGATGTACTTGTGCTATGTGGGTATTTATAAAAAATTGGCTGTTCCAAATGTTTCATTTAATAACATTTTGTCCTTGACTTAAACATTTTTTTCATATTTTTTATTTTGCAATTTTCGTCTTTTTAAGTACAGTACTTTTTTATTACAAAATGAGTATAAAACCAATTATTTAAGCTGAATTATAAATTGCATGTATTAAGCTGCACAAAAATATATAACAAGTTGTCGTTATTTTGCAAACTAGATTTGTTATAATTTTAAATAAATATTTATATTTATGCATAATGCCCGAAATTGCTAGACACTACACACATATATTCACTTATGTGTATTAGTACCTACACACACATACATTAGTACTAACACACTATTACAAACTTACTTCTTTATCGGCTCCTGGAACTTTTCATAGAATTCCGGCCCAAACACCAACTCATATTCAGGTTTCTCTGCGAGGAACTTGAAGATGCGCTGTTTTATATCATCAAATGTAACTGACCGAGGGAAATCTGACATCTTCATCACCCTTGAAACATGGTCAAAGTTATTAGATTTGCAGTGCTTTCCTACATCTCAGGTACCTTTAAACTTAACTGTTATTTTCAAGGCCAAACCATCAGAAATTTAGAAACCAATTAGAACATTCATCTAATAAATATAACATAAGAGGCAAATGTTTAAAAACTCTGAAAACACAGTATCAAAACTAATTGTTTACAAAATTTGATCAATTTGCAAACTACGTTGAAATTTTTAATGGCTATCACAACCAAAATAGGTTTGTACCACTGATTATTGCAATGATATGAGTCTAACAACCTCAACTGCTTATCTATTAAATGATGCAAACCTCTTAAAAAAAGGTAGGTAAACCTACTCTTCTAAATTTAGTTTTCAACCCTTTGGTTAACAAAAGGAAAAGTTACTTATGTTTTGTTATTAATGTTTTTTTTTCTCAAATTTGGATTATTTTTATAGACAATTCCAGTTAGTAGTTAAGCCTACACCCTCATAAACCTAACAACTTCTCCAAGACAGAGAGTAGATGATTCTAACATACCTCAACAGTTGTTTCAGCTGATCTTCATCTTCACACTTAGGTGGTAAGCCATTGTAAAAGCTCCCTCTAGCCTGCCAAACAATCAATATGTTACACAATATATAAGGCGTTGCTCACAGCGACACTATAGTTATCAGCTTCAGTGCGGGGGTAAAAGCTTTGTGTTTCATATATTATTCAACAATCTGGTGGACATATTGGTTGGTTAATGAATCAGTTCACTCTGAAATCTTCAAACTATAGATCATCAGTAAATTAGTTGATTTAGATCAATGTATAACAAGACCCTGGGGGTTTGGACTGTTTCCTTACAAAGGTAAAAAAAATATTAATGGTACCGAAAAACACAGTTTAACTCACCTTGACTGTAAAGCAATGTTGACCCAGTTTGCTGAGTAGAGCTGTCTGTCCTTGGTTTATCATTTTCTTGTGAGTGGCAAACTTTTTGTTCTCCTCCTCATGCACCACAATCCCGTTCCATCGAAACTTGACTAACTTCCTGAAGAAAACAATATAATTACAACCAGCTAGTTTTGACTATGTTTTTTTTTTTTTTTTTCGCATAGTTGGTTTATATTATTTAAACAAATTAAAACCAGTAATGGTTCGGCAACAATTGTGAATATGTGAATTAGTCATTCAAGCTCAGTGTTGACCCTCTCAACAAAAATTGTTTTAACAAAATACAATACTTTTATTCCAAAAACAAAAATAATTTTAAAATATGTAAAGTATGCAATAAAAGACTTACTTGACAACTTCACTTGCAGTTTTGTCCAAAACATCGATTAACTCTACAAACAATCCTCCTCTGTTTAAATTCTCAAAGGAAGCCGTCAACACAGTGAAGTGACCTTTGAGTATAGTACTCTCCAACGTGTATCCATGAAACAGTGTGAAATCGTCTCCCAAAATCCTATAACATAGAAGAAAGACACAAGTAGTACTTACATCTACATTGTTACCAATAAAAGGAGAAAAAGAAATGGTCAGAATTATTTTTTCCCTGGCAATTACAGCAATTCAAATTTAGTTTCATGTTACACTGCAGCTAAATGGTTTTTTTTTTCAGTACAAGGGTTGCAGGCTCTTTTCATACCTAGGGTAAAAAAAGAATCAGTTGGATTTGAGTATACAACTGAATGTTTTTTTCTGAATTTGAAATTCTTCTGCTGATTATGCCAAACAAAATGGTACCAATTAATAAAATGCCTTCTTGATGTCATACATTCTTTGCAAAAAGTAAGCAACTCACTTTATGAACCAAAAAATTTGTTCCCACAGCAAAGATACAGTGATTAATAGAATAAGTGCAGTAGGCTCCTGAAATCCACAAGTGGATTAACCACGTTGCAGTTGATGAACCAGAACCGCAAAATTAAAACAAAACAAAAAGTGTGTTATGTAATTTAAATGTACTTTATGCGTCTTCTCTACTATTATGTTGAGGACTTTCGAATGAAAAATAAGATAACATCCGTACTAGCCTGAATAACTCCATGGTCGAGTCGTAACTAATTGCTATACCATTTAAGATCACATTAATGCAGGTATTTACACCAATTTGTAGTATTTTTGGTAAGGTTTGCGTTGTCCACAATCACTCAGCCACTCATTAACGTGGATAAGTGGGAGTCTTCTATAGTTAAGTGAGACTAGCCTAACCCTACAGTTCACTTTTAAGTAGAAATAAAAAGACGTAAAAACTAAAATCTATATTTACCTTAACAGCTCATCAATGGGTATGGCCAAGTTTTTGTACTTGGTATGAACCTCTAATGGCAGGTCTGACTTTTCAACTTTTTCTCTAGTAGCTGCAATCTTTTGGTTGATGAAAGCTTGGCTTTCAACTGTGAAGTTTGAAAGAAATTTTTTCAACTTGCAGAAACGCTTTGTCTTATAAACAAATCCATCAATGTGCTCAACTATATTCTCTTCTTCCTCTTTAGTTCCAGTATTTTCTGGGCATGAGAGGATGTTATCAGGTTCTGGACCTTAACAAAACAAATACAAATTAAGATTTCTCTACAAACTGATAGATCAAGTTTTGTAATAGGCCTACTATTTTTTATCTAGCACTGTATGGATCCAATTACACACTAGGTACCAAAACTATGCTATTAATTTCTTCCTAGATTAAGTTAGTGTACTACATTTAAGTTAAAGGATTTTTAGTGAGAATAGCAGGCTTGCCTTAATGGGATAGAGTCCAAACTGGTAGGCCTAAGAAATACAAAACTTACAGTTTACACTTAACATTAGGATATTTCACTTTCAGCAGTTTCAACTAAGGTATGAGTAAAAAAAAGAGTTTTCTACGATTATAGATTGGAGATAAAACTTTATTTTCAACTCTCACCTTCCTTAGTTGAAGATGCTGTCAGCGACTGTGAAATATTCTAGTGTTTAAATACTTATACCTAGTGCTAGTGTAAAGTTTTGTGTCTCTTGTTCCAGTTTACTCTTTCCCATCCAAGTAAGCTGGCTATCCTAACTAAAAATCCTAAAAACCTTGGCCTCTGTGCTGATTTTACATCCTCACATTAAACTTATGTAGCGATAAGAATAAATTAGATATAAAAGCTCAACTTACTAGTCTCATCTCCCAACAGGTGCAAACAGACGACACCACTCTCAAAAAAAGGGACCCAACGGATCACATATTTTTGGGTGTACTTCATTAAACAGCTCTGAGAGGTAAACGTTATACTGGAGTTTCTGCGTCCCTTCTCTGACACACAAGTCCAATTGCTATGAGTGTACGGCAGTTCCAACTTAAAATCTTTCATAATTTTCTCTACAAACACTCCATTTTCGTCTCCGTCTTTGTACACCAGCGTGTCCTCGATCAACGTGTAGCTCACATCTGTATTGAAGTCACCGGCGACCACATACATAGTTTCTTCCGGAATGTTTCTCATCATTTCCATCAGTAACAGGGTCGTCTCTCGGAACTTTTCAGCATCTTTGTGTGACGGCATCGAGCAGCAGATTACGTTGATTGCTGTTTCTCCAAGAGAGAGCGTTCCGATGCACAGATATTCATTCACGATTACAAAGTCGGAGAGAGTTATGTCAAAGGAGTTTTTAACGAGAATTGCAACATTTTTGCCCCAAAGTTTCTTTGATGTGAACCAAGTGTAGTTAAGGTTCTCTAGGTCTTTGTCGCTAGTGAGGAAGAATTCTTGTACACAGACTACAGGAATATTCAGCTCACTAAGGGATTTATCTACGGCTGCAGGAGAAGCTCCGTGTACATTCCAACTAGCGAGGCCAACTTTTGGCAAAAGCACACTTTCATATTTCTCATACACCTAAAAAATAATACTTTAATTTTAAACACGAGTAATGAACATGATGTTGTAAACATATTATAATATTATTAAAATAGTTTAAATTATTTTAACATTTTTGCCAATAAGATTGATGATCTGAATATATAGTACGATACATATCTTTGCCTGTCTTCAAATTTACTTATGTATAGTATTCCGAGAAGAATTACTAGTTTCAGGTCATTAAGACCAATGGTCAAATTCATTGAATTAAATTATTAATTATTTAATAGTCTTTAAAAATGGACAGACCTTTTTATGATTAAACTTTTATCGACACATTAATGTTCAAAAACAGAGAAATAATTTTAATAAACGTTGGGCTCCACATACACTAATCTATTTACCGTAGGTACTACTGCAATGAGGATAGGAACGGAAGCCTCTTGGTTCTAGGAAAAGGTTGGTAAAACTTACCAATTTTAAAACCGAGGGAGGATAAACCAAGCTCTTTTTTGCTAAGACAGAGGGTGTCTACAGTACTTAACATTAAAGTAGAAACGATTAGAAGTGTCTCATTGATCAATGTGAATGTAAGCCAGATTTTAGACTATGTAAATAAATGACATTTAGGATTAAGACAGATGTGAGTACAGTAGAACCTCTTTAATCCGAACTAATTGGGACCAGGGGTAGTTCGGACTAGTGAATAGTTCGGATTACAGAACATATTGCTGTTTTTACATAACAATAGCTAAAACATGGTTAAAATTGATCTAAATTATTTTGGGAAAAGTGAAAAAAATGTTTTATAAATTAAAATACATTGTTTATTTAATACAGTAGTAAACATGGTGAATAAACAGTACTGTACATTAAATACAGTATACAATAAAGAACTGCTGTACTGTGTATAGAGTACAGCAATTAGGGGTTCGGATTAGTGGACGTTCGGATTACGGGGGTTTGGATTAAAGAAGTTCTACTGTAGATCAATTACCTGTTTAAATCCTAATTAAATAGTCAAGTGCATAAAGGACTCATTAGATAAGAAACTATAATCTGTTTGTCCAGGGAGTGCAGCTGAATCTTGCCCCTACCTACGAGGGAACCAACTCCTACACACACACACTCACCACTGTCCAGATTGCCTAAAGGATCCGCTCCCCTTCCCTACCAATGGTTGCTAGTAAATTAAGTGACGATATACAGTAAAATGCTTTGTGTTTCTAAATTTGCTACTCAATTCCTAGCAAAATAATTCCAAATAATCTTAACTTCTAAATTAGTTTAGTAAAATTTAAACATTGAATGATATCATTTTACATATCATTTTGAGCTTGACAAAAAGCATTAGACTCAAACAGGAAGGAAAAATTAGAAAAACCATAGTAAAATCTACTTTTACAGAGGAAACTCATCACCTAGATTAGAAAATTTTTAATAAAATTTGTGTGAGCCAGTGATTACTCACGTGGCAGATCAATGGTCCGTCCTAATCGGTTGTGTCTGTGTGAGGGTTACAAGTGTGTGAGTAGGGCTGATCCTGAGTCCAGCCACACTCTTTGAGCAACCAGAGTACCTATAGGCTTGTTACTTAAACTTTGATCCCTATAACTTACCTTAATTCGAACACATTTTGAAATTAGAGCACTCTTGTAGCCTGAATACCAGCTACTCTCAGTATCTTGCAGCAAAGTTCTTGTGTGAAACGGAATCCTATCAGAAGACCCCATGATGTAGCTCCGCTGGGATGCTCGGTCATCTTTATACGTGGGTACTGGCCGACCTGTACCGTAAGTGGTTAATACTGTAGCATGCCAACTCAGTATACACTTCCTCAGTTGAACGCCATTTTCATCAGAGACGTTATGAAACAGCTTTGGGCCGATCATACCTTTAGTGATACAATCATCTTTAGTGTAACAATCATCTCTACCAATTTTCGCGTTAAAATCACCGGCAATAACATATGCAGCGTTTGCTGGAACTTTTTTAACAACAGATACCAATTTTTGCCATAAGTCTTTGGAAGCATAATCATCTGAAGGCGGGATGTAACAAGATATGACGTATACAGGTATTTTGTCTTCAGTAACAACATGAGCCACGCATATCTGTTCACATACTTGTTCAAAGGTCTCGGCTTGTAGAGAGGATGTTTTCTTGATTGCCACAGCTGATCCTTGCTGTCCAGAACACAGCCACTTGTAATGTGGCAAATCGCCAACAGGCAGGTTGGCTTGCTGGATACAAACAATGTGTGAACTTTGTTGTTCAGAAGATTTATGTAAAAGTTTATCAATCTCCTCTGGAGTTCCGTTCCCACAAACATTCCATGTAGAAAATTTGATGTTACCTACTTGGTTTTTAGCCATTTCTGTAACAAAAAAATTAAATTAAATTTTTCATTTGATAAGTATTTTTTTTTAGCTGCAGCTGTTCAGAAGAACAGAATGCTATTCATTATGCACTTAGCATTATAAAAATATATTTTCTCAACACATTATTTGAATTTTGAAGTGCAAGTTAAAGGATTTCTTTTGCTTTACATTCAAATAAAGATTGAATGTGTTCTCATTGAAGTTGGTATGTTTTGATTTTCAATTAAATCTATTCAAATATAACATTATGTTTAACAAGTAACTAGGTTTGATAACTACAGGGTGGGTAATAAAGTGTGTTGTTAGTAAAATATTAATAGCTGTAGTAAAAAATAGATTTGCCAAATTTGATCCAAATCATACTAATATTATGAGAAAGTTTGGATGTAGGCCTATGGATGGATGGATGTTTGTGACAAGTAGCCTAAGCACAAAAAATAATGGTCAAATTGGGCTGAAATTTGGTGTGATGATAGCTCACATTCCCAAATAACATACAGTATAGACGCATACTTATCTCAAAAATCCTTTCGGACTCCACCCCAGTGGCTCTAGGAGTTTCCCATGTTAACCTAATAATCTTACTATAATATTATAAATGTGAAAGTTTGTGTTTGTTTGAAGTTCAATCACGCATTAACTACTGGACGGATTGGGCTGAACTTTGGCATGATGATAGATTACATTCACGATTAACATATAGGCCTAGTCTTATCTCAAAAATTCTTTCGGGCTCCGCCCCAGTGGCTCTGTAGTTACCCATGTTAACCTTATGAGTATTCATATTCAAAAGGAATTATAGAATTTAGTTAGCTGTTATCAACTGATGATTGTTATTTCATTGTGTTTCAACCACTATTTAACTGTGCAAAAACAGTCTGGAAGTAGCATAAATTAATGAGTCGGTTCATTATAACCTAACCTTTAACTTACATAATCTAACCTCACTTCAAAACACTTAATACAGTCACGAATCCGCATAAAGTCCGACCTATCTTCCTCACATGCCTTTTCTGACATAAAATGCGATTTAAACATTACTATTAAGGTTGGGTTGGGTTGGGTTAGGTTAGGTTGGATTAGATTAGATTATGTAACATCATTTATTAGTTGCTGATACATTAAATTATGCACTGTGGCACGTTTTCACTTTTAGACACAATGGGATTATGTACTAGATGGGATTATGCACTATGGCACGTTCATTAACAGACGTTGAGGCATTAGTCAATGGTTCAGGATTGGAATGAAGACGATGATCATGTCGGCAGTGGCCTTGCTTCTATTACTGATATTTTACGTGAATAAATTCTATTTTGTTCTATAATTTATGTTGATGTGATTAATAGTTTATGTATCGTAGTTGATTTAGTGTATTTTCTAAACAGCACCAATAGTTATTTGTGTAACTAGTGGTGAAAGTGGCAATTTGCTGCACACGAGAGCAATGTTTACGCACGAGCCGCAGGCGAGTGCGGAATGATCTCGAGTGCAGCAAAGGCCTTTTTAACTCGTGTTACACATTATATTTTTCCTACAGTCACTATAAAACATATAAATAATTAGTCTTTCAAACAATATACAACACGTTTTTAGGTTCAGCTGGCAACACAAATGGTGCCCTAGAGAAAGTAGTACCCGCGGTCCGTATCACTCCGCTATTTTTCCTCGGCAAGAAATGTGCTCCACGTTTTGAGAATATAGTTCCGTATGTTTTTGTAATTTGAAGTGGTTTCCGCGCCTAAAAAAAATGCTTTAAAGGTATTTTCTTGTTTATTAAGATCGTAGGAACCTTTTAAAAACGTTTAAAAGAAAAGTCAATAAAGTTCAGAAATACCGAAACTATAAACACGAAATGACAGGTTAAATCGTAGTTATAATAGTCAATCAGCTGCTCATAGTATTATTATCTTTAAGTGTTGCCAACCTATTTCCAAGCTTACATGGATTACGTGCATAATAGAACCACGCTGTTTTGTGTTGTTTCGTTGGAATCCTGATGTGCGGCAAAGTATAAACCGTACGACAAAGTATAAACCGTACGGCAAAGTATAAATATGCAGCAATTAGCAGCTTTCTGTACTATAAACAGTACAAGGAAGCCAACTTTGTCGGGTGACTGTAGGAAAAGTCCATTTTCTTTTAAAAATCTAGTTATTGCATATTGTAACTCTGATTTTGCTGTCATGGCGTCCTGTGTGGTTTTGTCTGTTGTTATCGAATGTAAACAACTGACAGCTGTTTCCACTCCACAATCCTTCCTCCCCTTTAAGTGTTAGTCGCCACTAGAACTTGGACTCGCCCATACCACAAATATGTGAATATTATTTACTACAAAACTGAAGCTTAATATTAATTATTTAACTGTCCGGTCATTTAGGAATCTCTCCAACAAAAACTGATTGCATTTCCGGATTCAGCGTGCAAAAAACTCTAGGGTAGACATAAGTTAAGTTACGGTACGGTAGATCAAAATTACGGAATGTAATCAATTAATTTATTGCGACGGCAAACACCACTTTTTACATGATGTTCAATATTGTGCAGCTAGCGGCATACAGTGATACATACACTGGTAATTAAATTTACAATGAAAATATACGATTGAATGGGCTAGGACTAACTTAGATAAGCTACTTTTAAGTTCAATGGAGCCTGATTTCAAATTTTGGCCTACTTTACTTTAGGTCCTACACAAACAACCAAATGAAAATATCGATTATTCGATTGTTTCATTTGATAGCCTACATCGTTTGGTTAGTTAGGTTAGGTTAACCTTACCCTAACCAAACGATAGGCTATATCGAATAATCGATACGGTATATCGATCGATATTTTCATTCTAATGAGTGTAGGACCTAAAGTGCAGCCAAATTTTGGCCTAAATTTCTAATCTAGCCTAGACTATTATAAAATTAGGCACATGACAATAAAATTATCCTAAGTTAGGCCTATACAGCAAATTCAATACTTGTGTGAACCTGGCAATAACTTGGCAATAAGTAGTGCGCGCGCCACAAAAAATCTATTGCTGGCCGTTTTGCGGCAAAATACGTCCGCGATGCATATAACCGATGATGCCAACAGATAGAGGACACTTTAACAGACACGACAGTATCAACATTATGTACCTGGGGAGTAGTATAAGGGGGGTAAAATCAGCAATAAGTAATGCGCGCGCCACAAAAAATGTACATTAAATAACTAATACAACTAGTACCTATTAAGACTACAGCCTGGTTTACAAGGGTAGAGTTGTGGGTAGAGTAGAGTTTCTAGTAGAGCCACTATCTTGTTCACTCTACCGATTTACAGAAGCCGACTGTTCACACACAGTAGAGTGTTGATGATAGTGTGCCTCACTGTTCGTGTTGGTGATAGGTTTTTAAATTCATCAAAATGAGCGTTGTTGTGAAGAAAATACAAATACAAATACAATAATATTCACCCAGAACACGCCTGAAAATCAATAATAATTATCAATTATCAATTATTTAAGATGGGGACGCCACTATGTGCGTATTTTAACCCAAATATGAGTGAAGGATGAGTGTAGGATGAGTGGCACGATCTTGTAGTCTTGTTAGTGACTAAGGCCGACATGTTCCTTAGACACAGCTGTTAATAAATAGTATAATTAATGAATACACGAATGTCAACAATACAAGTCTCAAATACAGCTCAAGACAGTTTCACTCTACTGGAAACTCTACTCTACTACTGACTTAATCACGTTTACACGGGTATAGTGTGCAGGAAAGTGAAAATTAGGGCAGTAGTGGGGGAAGTAGAGTAGAGCTACTATGCCACATGTTGGCATAGTACATGATGGCATACCTTTTACTATTAGGTACTAGTTGTATTAGTTATTTAATGTACATTTTTTGTGGCGCGCGCACTACTTATTGCTCATTTTACCCCCCTTATACTACTCCCCAGGTACATAATGTTGATACTGTCGTGTCCGTTAAAGTGCCCTCTATCTGTTGGCATCATCGGTAATATGCATCACGGACGTATTTTGCCGCAATACGGCCAGCAATAGATTTTTTGTAGCGCACGCACTACTTTTTGCCCATTTTACCCCCCTTAACCTACTCCCCAGGTACATAATGTTGATACTGTCGTGTCCGTTAAAGTGTCCTCTATCTGTTGGCATAATCGGTAATATGCATCGCGGACGTATTTTGCCGTAATACGGCCAGCAATAGATTTTTTGTAGCGCGCGCACTACTGTTTGCCGATTTTACCCCCCTTATACTACTCCCCAGGTACATAATGTTGATACTGTCGTGTCCGTTAAAGTGTCCTCTATCTGTTGGCATCATCGGTAATATGCATCGCGGACGTATTTTGCCGCAATACGGCCAGCAATAGATTTTTTGTAGCGCGCGCACTACTTTTTGCCCATTTTACCCCCCTTATACTACTCCCCAGGTACATAATGTTGATACTGTCGTGTCCGTTAAAGTGTCCTCTATCTGTTGGCATAATCGGTAATATGCATCGCGGACGTATTTTGCCGTAATACGGCCAGCAATAGATTTTTTGTAGCGCGCGCACTACTTTTTGCCGATTTTACCCCCCTTATACTACTCCCCAGGTACATAATATTGATACTGTCGTGTCCGTTAAAGTGTCCTCTATCTGTTGGCATAATCGGTAATATGCATCGCGGACGTATTTTCGGCCAGCAATAGATTTTTGGTGGTGCGCGCACTACTTATTGCTCATTTTACCCCCCTTAACCTACTCCCCAGGTACATAATGTTGATACTGTCGTGTCCGTTAAAGTGTCCTCTATCTGTTGGCATAATCGGTAATATGCATCGCGGACGTATTTTGCCGCAAAGCGGCCAGCAATGGATTTTTTCGGGCTCGCGCACTACTTATGGCTGGAGTTATTGCCAGGTTCACACCAATAAATTCAATAAACCTAAGTTACATTATAAGTGTGAATAGTTAAGTTAGGCCTATGTGAAACAGCGCCCGGCAGGCTATAGGCCTACTTATGAGGAACTTAAAACTTAAAAGGTTAAAGAATAAGACAATAACTAACCTTAGTTGTTATTGCAGCAACAAAATTAGGCCTATAAATCCTTATGTATGATACTATTTTAAGCTAGACACGAAAACACAGTCGTTCACAAAATCGGTGTCCAAACATTTTCAATTTCAATTGATTATGTCAATATCAATCTTCGCGCAACTTCAACATCATATTCTAATCCTAATCGTAATCGCCTCGGCAATCGGGTCTCGGGTCACGGAATCGGCTTCGTTTTCGTTACTTCGATTCTCGTCACTTAGGCGCCTTAAAATAAGAAAATAAATAGCAAAACCTAGAAATAATTAGAACACAGATGAAACCATTGTTGTTCGATAGTGAAAAGTGTTGTGAATGACATATCAAAAGTCTCCAAAAATATCTTTGGTGGAACACCACCATTTTTCCAAAATGGCGGCCAAATCCAGTAGTTTTTTGCTTTTTATTGAAATTCTGACTTTCCAGTCAATATTGGTGAAAAGTCGTCAATACATTTAATGTTCCTCCTGAAATTACCTTTAAAATGATACCAAATACATGTACCTAATACAAAAAATAAACCCCGTAGGAATAATAAAATATTTAAAATAAAAATATTTGTTATAAATTAATGTAATAGTCCATAAGCAAACTAAAAATAAAGTACACAGGGATCGTATAAAAATTTGCAAGTAAACATTTTATGGTTTTATTTTTATTGTTGTGGTGTGCAGAGTGACATACCAAAAGTTGCAAAAAAATCAGTCCATGGGAAACCCCTAAATTAAGGAAAAAATGGCGGCTTTTCCCAATATTGGACAAATTTTGCAAAAAACTTAATTTTAATTTCAATAGGGGCCGCTTTTTGGGCCGCCATCTTGGATCGGCCATATTGGATATAAATATTTTTTAATGTAATTATAGTGTGACACATCATTATGAACTAGATTTCCACGCTGATTTCAATGCTGAAATCAGTTTTTAAATAGCGTTTTACGATTTTAAGATATATAAAAACGAAAACTCTCCCCCATACATTTTTTATGGACTTTTCGTACTTTAACAATTTAAAAACACATTGAAAACTACCACAGCCTAAGGTTGTACTAATAGGTTCAAGTATGGCGTGGAAATAGTTCACCAGCAGATCCAACAGATTGGGAGTGGTGTTTGACTGATGGTACATATGACTAACTTTTAAATAACTGTACTTATAAATAACTGTAACTGTGTAACTTGGAAGTTATATTTAGATAAACATAAGATATAGCCTTTAAACAATTTCAACAAAACGTTTTATGGTTTTATTTTGTAGTGTTGTGCAGGGTGAAAACGGGAAAAACTCGTCATAGCTATTCGTTCAAGTATTGACTTTTATTTTAGCTATGAATTCCTTATTGGGAGTTATTTAGAATTGGGGATAAATGTCTTTAACTAAAGACAAATTTCAAAATAACAATAATTCATTCAATAGTTCATTGAAGGTAGGCCTACATGATTCGTTTTAAATTTGTCTTAAAATTAATAAAATTAAAGCCAAACATTTACTGAGTATACTTTGATACCAGAACGAACTTGTTAACATATTAACAACCCGAGATATAAATCTTTAACAACAACTGATAAAAAAAAGTTAAATTTTGTGTTGGGGTTTGTACCTTGTCTATAACTAGTCTGTTTTAACTATAAATAAAACAAAATGAAAGCTAACTAAAATGACAGCTCTTTTATCACTGAATATTTTAAGGCTAGAACGAACTGCAAGCATTAATAATACCTGGAGAAAAATATTCCAAACACATTTTCAAAGTACGATACGTCCGTAAGTGATGTATAGGGGAGAGTTTTCGTTTTAATATATCTTAAGCAACGATAAAACGGATTTCAGCATTGAAATCAGCGTGGAAATCTAGTTCATAATGATGTGTCCCAACACTATAATTACATTATTAAAAAATATTTATATCCAATATGGCAGATCCAATATGGCTGATCCAAGTTGGCGGCCCAAAAAGCGCCCCCTATGGAAATTAAGTACGGACCATCCAACATATTTTGTTCGTGGTTCCAAGTCAATATCTCGAAAAATGTGCAAAATAACATGTGGTATCTTTTGCTGAAAATTTTTTCCAATATTGGGAAAAGCCGCCATTTATTCCTTAATTTAGGGGTTTCCCGTGGACTGATTTTTTGCAACTTTCGGTATGTCACTCTGCACACAACAACAATAAAAATAAAACCATAAAATGTTTACTTGCAAATTTTTATACGATCCCTGTGTACGTTATTTTGAGTTTGCTTATGGACTATTACATTAATTTATAACAAATATTTTTATTTTAAATATTTTATTATTTCTACGGGGTTTATTTTTTGTATTAGGTACATGTATTTGGTATCATTTTAAAGGTAATTTCAGGAGGAACAATAAATGGATTAACGACTTTTCACCAATATTGACTGGAAAGTCAGAATTTCAATAAAAAACAAAAAAACTACTGGATTTGGCCGCCATTTTGGAAAAATGGTGGTGTTCCACCAAAGATATTTTTGGAGACTTTTGATATGTTATTCACAATACTTTTCACTATCGAACAACAATGGTTTCATCTGTGTTCTAATTATTTCTAGGTCAAACCATATATTCAGGGGCCTAACTGAGCTGATTCTCGTTTCTGTTCTGTATTGTGTACCAATTTTTCTGTGTTGTCATCTGTGCCCTCGCCCTGTGGTCACAGGGATTCACAGGGACTCGCCTACGGCTCGTGAGTAAGGATTTCTCTCGAGTGAGTCAATTGCTCACTTTTCTCACTAGTTGCACATAACCCTATTGGGTATTTACTCAGGGGAGGTATAGAAGAGGCTACGATGTCAGCTGTTGGCTTCTTATTAGCTGAGGGAACGCCATTACCGTAACAAAAGGATCCTTAGTCATCGGCCTCGGTGGGCTAATGGTTAGCGTGCCGGGCTGATATGCTAAAGGTCCCTGGTTCAAATCCCGCTGGTGGATTTAACTTTTTGTCCAAGATTCTTTTATTATCAGCAAGTTTGGTTGGTTTGGTTCGGTTATGACAGTTTAATTTTATTATTAAGTCATTATAAAATTTTAATTGAGCAATTTCTAGTTTTATTTAATAAACAAAATTATTTTTTCTATTACTAAACTTTTGTTATATTATTTCATTATCAGCCAGTTTGGTTAGTTCGGTTAGGTTATGATAGTTTAATTTTATAATTAAAAAATAATAAAATTTAATTTGAGGCATTTATAATTTTATTTTATGAACAGAACTATTTTTGAGATTAGTAAACCTTCATTGCCAAAGTACTCTCTAAGTTTACTACAGCGCTGTTCACTGAGGAATTTTGAACTAATGCCTCATTCGTACCTCCCCTAAGTCAGACCCTAACTATTGTCGTACGGTTTGTTTATACTTTGCCGCACATCAGGATTCCAACGAAACAAAACGAAACAGCGTGGTTCTATTATGCACGTAATCCGTGTACGTGTACGCTTGGAAATAGGTTGGCAACACTTAAATAAAAATAATACTATGAGCAGCTGATTGACTATTATAACTACGAATTAACCTGTTATTTCGTGTTTATAGTTTATGTTCTCTTTTCGGTATTTTTATATATTACTAGCTGTAACCCGCGGGCTTTGCCCCGTTTAACTTCTTAATTTTCAAGATTATCTCGTTCGCATGGCTCAATCACGTCCTGGTTGAAGTTTGTTCGCTACGCTCACTCACCTTTAGGTTGGAGCTCGTTCGCTGCGCTCACTTGCCTTCAGGTTAGCTCGTTCGCTACGCTAACTCGCCTCCAGGTTGAAGTTCGTTCGCTACGCTCACTCACCTTTTGGTTGCAAATTAGCTGTTGTCATAAATGTAAAAGAAATAATAGTGCTGCACCCTGTTGGTAATCCTTGTAACTTTAATGCTATTGAACATCATAGAACAGAACCAACTTGTTTAATTGAAACAGCTGTTAAGATTCAATAATTCCATTTCTCATAAGGTTAACATGGGAAACTCCAGAGCCACTGGGGCGGAGCCCGAAAGGATTTTTGAAATAAGAATATGCCTATATGTTAATCAGGAATGTGAGCTATCATCATGCCAAATTTCAGCCCAATCCGACCAGTATTTTTCGAGTTTACTTTTCCCATACACACATACAGCAACCACCTCTTTTTTATAATAGTATAGATAGATAGATGTCCATGAACGCGATAACTTGAGTAATTTTTTAATTTTTGTCCGATTTTGATGAAATTTGGTTTAAAGGTGTAAGGCCCAGCCCAGCGCACACGGTGTGACTGTTTTACAACTACAGTTGCGTCTATTGTGCAATCAGTGGAGTGTCAATTTAGTGTTGTTACGTTGTTTTAAGGCCAAGTGCGCTTACTATGCCAGTCTCAGACGAAGAAGACGTTATTAGCTATTATCAATACCGAAGACAGCGAAGGGTACTGAGAGAGCATTGGGTTCACCCTTATTTGAGCAAGAATGTTAAGTACTAGGCTGTTTGTAGCAGCTAGAGCTAGTCGGATAGGAAATTATAAACACTTACGGCCGTCAAAATACCATCAAACACCCCGTGGTCTCGTGCAACTGAAGTCTGCAACGTCGGGCCCACGGTTGCAACTGGTTTCAAATGTTTTTTTTTAAATCGCATACAACCAGTTGCGTCGTGTGCGCTTCCCCACTGCAATACATTGCCGAGGTCACAAAACAGTTGCACTCGCAACTAGTTTGCAACGAAAGTTGTAAAACAGTCACACCGTGTGCGCTGGGCCTAAGGCGGGATAAACTTGAATGAGTTCGCGAATCAGCATGATCGGACCATGGGAACGGGGTTTTACGGGGGGGTTTATGGGGTAAAAATTCGTTTTTGTCATTTTTGACCCCCAAAACACAAAATTTCCCAATTTCTCTCTAGACCTTTTTAAAGAACTTAAAAAAACAAATATTTTAGTATACAAAAGTGTTTTTGTACGGTTATTGGTGACGGAGAAAATTCAAAAAGTTTAAAATTTAAAATTAACATGTTATTCTTATAGAGAATTTGTAAAATGTTATAGTTTGCTTGTTTATGGATATATTTTTATCAAACTTGGCAATTTTATTTATTTTATACTAAGCTATTAAAATTTTACTAGAAAACTCACTGTATTAGTTCCCTTGTTGCAGCAAACCTAGGTACTCTTTAAACCAAACGTTAAATAGATTTAATTGAAAATCATTTCAGATAAATATGGAA